ATTGTTGAGGCTATACCTCAAACAAAGAGGGCTTCTTGATGGTATTATCCCGTAGCCATATTTGTCCTAGGAGCCACCCCTATTGAGGTAAAATTATAAATAGAGGCTTTAGCCATGCATACAACAGCCACCTTTAACCAGATCCACCTCTAACTTGTGGCCATGGCTTCCCCCAGGCTGGATTGGGTGCTGTACTCCGGGTTTTGCTGGGATGCACAGATGTGTTATTAAAACCACTACCAACCCAGCCAACCTTCCAAATTTAAAACAATGGTGGACATGTTCCATGTTTCACTGGTATGACCAGTATGACCACCGAGCATCCATTTTTATCCCCTCTTCAGGACTGGGGGATGTCGTTTGGCACATGGAAACTTCACAAGGACATAGTCAAAGCCCTAAACAACACTCAAAATAGCATTTCCCTATTAAATACTGAAGAAACACAAATGCATGAAGCAGTTTTACAGCATTAGATGTTTTAACTGCTGCACAAAGAAGAGAAGGAACATGTCCTATCATTAAAAACAAAATGCTGTGTACACATTCCAGATTACCACAAAAACATTTCTGGGTTTCTAAGTGACATGAACACTCACAGTGGCGCTTTAAATGATCCTTCTCGGTCCTTTAATGGCTGGTTAAACTCCTGGACTGGAATGGATTCAGTGGCCTCTGCCTTTTGTAACTCCTCGTATAGCAGCCCAATGCGGACCCCAAAAGAGGGACATCGCTACGCCCTGATTCAGCAGGAAGAAGTAATCTTAAAGATTTAAGGGTCAAAATTATTCAAGGGGGGAATTATGTGGAAAACAAAGCAAAAGAAATGTAGATAAAATTAAATCTCCTCATGACTTGCAGCCCATTGACAAGCACTTGGGAGAGGCAGAGTGGCCTTCCCCAAGGAGCTCAGTGATGATGCTAATACTTCACTAGAGGCATAAGGTGACCTTATCTTAATATTAACCACTCCCCCCTCCCCAGGATCCTGTAAGTCTCCTTTAACATAGGACAATCATTCCAGAAACTTCCTTTGTCTTTACTTCCCCCCATTCCAAAGTATAGAATCAGCCACTCCTCACAACTCCAGGGCAGCTCCTCCTACCCACGGTCATGTTCTCGTGCTTTAATAAAACCACCCTTTTTGGGGTGCACCTGGGGGGGCACCTGGGTGGCTCAGTGGTTGAGCGTCTGCCTTTGACTCAGGTCGTGATCCTGGGGTCTTGGGATCGAATCTCACATTGGGCTCCCCACAGTGAGCCTGCTTCTCCCTCTGCCTATGTCTCTGCCTCTCTCTATGTGTCTCTCATGAATAAATAAAATCTTTAAAAAAAAAAAAAACCCTTTTGCACCAAAAACATCTCAAGAAGTCTTTCTTGGCCATTGAGTCACGGACCCACCTTGAAACCACATCAGTAAAACCTCAGGAAACACTAGCTATAGTTACTAGAAATGTCCTGAACTCCTGACAGTAGGCGCCCTTACTTCACGGAGTGTGGATTCTGGACTCTGCTCCAGTAAGTGATACTGAGGGGTTTGTTGGTTGGTTGGTTTGGACTCACATACTTCATTCAGAAAGCAGTTCACCTCTTCCCCAAAGCTTCTCTCTTGCTGGGCTGACCCAGATGGGGGCCCTGATCTATGCCGGGAATCAGGCAGGCTCTGGGGGAATGGGCTGGAGAAGGGGTCTCTGCAGACGCAGTGGCATCCCAGAGGTCTGTGTAGAAGGCCGTGGAGCCGAGGGAGGTGCCCTTTGCGGTGTCAGCTGGTTAAGGGCAGAAGTGAAAAGCCAGGCAGGAAGGGGAGAAAAAGAGCTTTCCAGGGAGAATGAATAGCATGGGGACAGCACTGTGATATTGTGATTTAATAAGGAATATACAACTGGTCTTAGTTCGAGTCCTGGCAAACAGATCCTTAAGTCCTTGGAATTTCCTAAGCATCAAGAATGGTAAAAGTACCTTTATGTCCATATGATGACTTTTGGAAAAGCCCCTAGGTAACCCAGAGACGAGCAACTATGTGCCTGTAAGGAACCCTCCAGATAAACTCAAAGAATGGGGTCTGAAGGGCCTCTGAGTTGGTGATCCGAGGAGAGCAGTACCCTTCCCCTATGCCTTTCCCCATGCACCTCTTCCATCTGGATGTTCCTGAGTTATATCCTTTTATAATCAACCAGTAACCAAGTGAGTAAAATGTTTCTCTGAGTTCTGTGAATCACTCTAGAAAACTCATCATACCCAAGGATGGGGTCGTTGGAACCTCTGACCATAGCTTGGTCAGAAGCACCAGTGATTTGAGAGTGGCATTGGAGGGGCAGGAACAGCCTTATGGGACTGAGCCTTTCACCTGTGGGACCCGATGCTGTCTCCAGGTACACAGTGTCAGACTCCCAGCTGGTGTCAGAGAATTGCTTGTTGGCATTGGGAAGAAACATGCACATCGCAAACATGGCCCAGAGTGTTGTGCTACGGGTGGTGCACAGGACCTCCCTAAGCAGGAAGAGAGGGTGAGTTGGAAGGTCAGGAGGAGGTGACAAAGGAACACTGAGGGGAGACAGGACAGACTGGGAGAAGCATGTGGCACCTCATGAAGAGTGTAGGGTGGCAGGAAGTTTCCTCGACATGGGCAACAGGGAGGCTTCTTCCATTCTTGCACAGATAAGCAAGAAGCATCTAGTTTAGAGACTTGAAAGAAATGGCAAAGGAAACAGTAGCTTTAAAAAAAAACCCAAATAACAGCCCATCACAGTGGTTGCCTAGAAGAGGCAGGACAAGTGCCGTCCTATTTATATTTGTGTGTGTTGCATCTTAATAGCAAAATTAATATAAAAAAGATGCAAGCCATTTGTAGGGGCTAGTCAATGTATTTTCAATTTGCTAATTTTATTAGGACTGATTTTTGGAACAGTTAGGTTCACGCCACAAGTGCGGGGGAAGTACAGAGGTTTCCCATATACCCCTACTTCCATACTCCCACACAGCCTTCTCCATTATCAACGCTCTCCACCAGAGTGCTGTGTTTGTGACCATGGATGAACCTACTGTGGCACATCATCACCTAAAGTCTGTAGGAGATCACTAGGGTCTCCTCTTGGTGTTGGACATTGTGTGAGTGTGGACAAATGTATATTAACAAGTATCCATCATCATAGTATCATAGGGGGTGGTTTCACTGCCCTAAAAATCCCCTGTGTTTTGCCTGTTCATCCCTCCCTCTCCAACCCCTGAGCCTTTTACTGTCTCCATGGTTTTGCCTTTTCCAGAATGTCTGATAGTTGGAATCATACAGTATATGTAGCCCCTTCAGATTGTTCACTGAAATGCATATCATCCGTGTCTTTTCATGGCCTGATAGCTCTTTTTTCTTTTTAGTTCTGAATAATATTCCATTGTCTGGATGGACCACACTTTATCAGTTCACCTACTGAAGGACATGTTGGTCACTTTCAAGTTTTGGCAATTACAAATAAAGCCACTATCAATATTCGTGGAAAGGTTTTTGTGAAGACGTTAAGTGTTCAACTTAGGTAAATATTGAGTGCAGTTGTTGGATCATATGGTAAGAGTATGTTTAGTTTTATAAGAAACTGCCCAACTATCTTCCTTTTAAAAAAAAATATTTTTATTCGTTTGAGAGAGAGATAGCACGGGTGGGGGTAGGGGCAGAGGGAAGAGAAGAAGACTTCCCATCCAGCAGGGAGCCTAAAATGGGGCTCTATCCCAGGACCCCGAGATCATGACTCCAGCTGAGGGCAGATTCTTTTTTTTTGTTGTTAATTTTTATTTATTTATTTTATGATAGTCACAGAGAGAGAGAGAGAGAGAGGCAAAGACACAGGCAGAGGGAGAAGCAGGCTCCATGCACCGGGAGCCCGACGTGGGACTCGATCCCGGGTCTCCAGGATCGCGCCCCGGGCCAAAGGCAGGCGCCAAACCGCTGCGCCACCCAGGGATCCCCTGAGGGCAGATTCTTAACCGACTGCCACCCAGGTGCCCTCCAACTGACTTCTAAACTGGTTTTACCACGATACATCCCACCAGCAACAAGTGAGAGTTCCTGCAGCTTCACATCCTCCCAGCATTTGTTGTTGTTAGGATTTTGGTACGTGTGCAGTGGTATTTCATTGTGTTTTTTAATTAATTATGATTTTATTTATTTGACAGAGAGTGAGCACAAGTAGGCAGAGCGGCAGGCAGAGGGAGAGAGAGAAGCAAACTCGCTGATGAGCAGGGAGCCAGATGTAGGGCTCAATCCCAGGACCCTGAGATCATGACCTGAGCTGAAGGCAGGCGCTTAACCCACTCAGCCATCCTGGCACCTCAGTATCCCATTGTTTAAATTTATATTACCCTGATGATACATGACGTGGAGCATCTTTTCATGTGCTCATTAATGTCACAAAACCCAGAAAGTGTAAAAAAAGAAACGAGCAGCACCCTGGAAAGCAAAGTTCCCAAGATGGAGCAGTTAGAGCCCAATTCTGAGGGCCGGGCTGCCATCCGGTGGCCAGTTTTTGGATGGCTGTTACTTTCGGAGAAGAGCCCTGGGATGTCCCAGCAGTCCCAGACACTGAGCAGCCTGTAGCTGCCATTGCCGTGAGTCCCGCTGTGCCGTGATAAAATGGTGCAGGGCAAGAACAGGGTCAGTGACTCGGTGCTGGAGTGTCTGGCTGATGGGAGTTTAGCTGCAAGCTTCAGGTCCTTGGAATCTGGATCTGCTGATCCTCATAGGGGACAGGGCCCAGGAATCTGTATCTAAAGTCCTCATTCCCTGCCTGCCCCTCCTACACCTGAGACCCTGTCAGGTGAACTCAGGAGAAGATGGTTGAGCCAGTAGGGTTCCCCCAACTTGACTGCATTTGCCCACGGAGAAGGGCCCAGGTGTGTTTCCAGGTCTCAGGTGTGTAGAAGGCTCTGGAGCTGCCCCAGAGCATAGGCTAGTCTGGGCCCACCTCAATCCCCAACCGGGCCACGGGCAATCAGTTTACCAAACACGCGAAAGAAAAAATAATTATTTTATTTAAGTTAAAATAGGGAGACTTTGGCTTCAACCCAAGATGATCAGGGTTTCGATACAGTTTTGCACAGGCCCCAAAGACCTCACAACTGTTATTATGCCATGACAGGAAGTTTGTAAAATGTTTCTGGTAGAAGGTTTCTTGTCGTTGTGTACATAAGAAGCGCTCTGTGCGCACCCTCAGCCCCGGCCAAATACTACTTCATTAAAAGACAAAACAAACATAAACAACTGAGAAGCACAGAAAGGCAGAAAGTGCCTGAGAAGAGAAGGCTCTGGGCTGAGGACACACGGATGAGGCCGGAGCATCTGTCCTGGCTGAGTTACACGTCTGTAAGGGAGGACACAGGTGCAGGAACATGAGCAAGGCTGATGGAAGAGAAAGAAACCCACGGAGGGGCCCGAGCAAAGTTCGAAAGGAAGCCTCTCTTGCTCTGATCGGAAAGCAGGAGCCCCTCCTGGACTCCGAAGATATGACTTTGCCCCCATCACCTTCGAGTTCTGAACCCCACAGAGATCCAGCCACAGCCTCCCCAACCCCCCACCCGGGCCCCTGACCTCAGGCCAAGGCACTGGGAAGCACCCCTCCCCTGCCCACATGGTCTCCACCAATCTTGGGAACACCTGGGCCCTCGGCAGAGCCGGGCAGGCAGCAGGGGGAGTGGAAATGGAAATATCCAGGGGTAACATTTAGGTGGTTGTTACAAAAGCAGACAGCACAGCAGCAGCATCAAACAAGTGGAATGAGAACTTGAGGGAGCCCCACAAAGTCTCCTGAGCCCCTCTTCCCTCTGCCGGCCCTTCCTGACAGCAGCCTGCCTGGGGACACCCAGTCTCGCCAGTCCTGTGGAAGCCACACCCGCCAGGCGCTGCAGTCTAAGCCAAGGACTCTGGGGCCCTCTTCCGAGCAGGCTCTACTTTCTTCTCATCCTCTGTGGCCCACAGGCTAACTCAGCTCTGAACCGTTTTCTCTCTTGCAGCAAGTAACTTCCTGAATTTCTGCTCCATTCTAGAAGCCATGTGCCCATGATCTGCCGTCTTGTCTTTAGGGGATCCCTGGATTCCCCTTCTATTGGCCATTTCTGTTAGGAGATTGCCCTATGACAGGTAGCTTTCTGTAGGGCAGCCCAGGAGTCCTAAAGGGATGATCACCTTCTGCTGATTTTCATAAAGAAACCTTTAAAAAAAGGGGGTGGGGAAACCAAAAATGAGTATTTTTTATCTAGTTCTATCAATGACTCTTCCCTTCAGATTCTCTTCCTCTGACAGATTTTGCTTCTGAGAATAAAATAGGAATCAGCAGTATGGTGAGGCTTTGGCTTTAATCCAGAACGGTCTTACAGGTTCAGAAGGTCATCTTGGTTTTGCAGAGTTCTGACCAAACCCAAGGGAGGGACGCCTATAGGCTAGAGTTGTACTTCTCCCCATGCCTCCTGCGGTGACGCGGACACCTGCCATCTTTGCCAGTGGCTTCTGTGACTTAACAGAGAAACTGTTTTCTGAAATTAGAGGAAATGTTGGTGGAGGAGCCAAGAATACAAAGATGTGGATGCTTATTTTAAATCCTTTTCTTTTAAATGTAAATAATCACCCCAAGATGCCTGTGTTACTTCCCCCAACCAACAGGGAGGAATCTGTCTGTGGATCATTCATCAACTCTCTGGTCACCTTTCCTATAAAAAAACAAGCCAGGAAGTGAATCAGCCGATCCCTCACCAGTTCTCCCCATTCCAGTCTTCAGGAGAACAGATGCGAGAGGCAGCAGGCACCCACAGGGATTCCCCGTAATACCTCTTCTTGTACCTGTTCCAGCTCTTGCACTGGAGAAGGGAACCTGTATTTTAAAGTGACCGCTGGAGGCAAGGGTATGGATTCTGGGCTCAAAATGCAAGCACAATCTGCATCAAGGGTTGGCAACCCATACAGAGAATTTGGGAGACCCCAAGGGCACCAGCTGTCCAGAGTGATTGTGCTAGAGTCATGGTAGTCACCTGGAAACCTTCAACCTGGTTAAAGGGAAATGGCTCTTTTGCTGACCAGCAAAGCTAGGCTCTCCAGGAAATCTCAATGCCCTGACAAACCCAAAATCTGCTTTGTCACATCTAAGTGGGGGATGCATCTCTGGCAACCCCCAGCATTTTATTTAGGATAGATGCAAGGTATACATATTTCTTTGTACCTTTCCCCCAGGTGTGGGTCCCTCGAACTGTAAATAGTGCTGTGTGGTCATGAGGCTGATGACCAGTGGACATCTACTAGGGCAACCTAACAGTGACCATGTGCCAATCTCACTGCCAACCTGCATGCAATCTCACTGCAGACAAGTACCCCCGAGTGCAGCCAGACATGGGGGCGAGTGGGTATGTGCTACCCGAGGGTCTAGGAGGTAGAAGAAGCTGAGTTCATGGCTGCTGCCCCACTGGGGGGTCAAGAGCTTCAAAAGCAGAAGGCTTAAAGTGCCAGCAGATGCCCACCCCCACTCCCTGCAGCAGGGACTCATAGAGCCACCTGTTCCCAGGGAGGCAGCACCTGTATAGAACTAGGAAGGGAAAAGCTCAGGTGCTTGGAAGTTCATCTGGGGTGCGTCTGGATCCCTGAGAGTCTCCTGTCTTGGAGGGTACAGGAGCCTTGGGGGGGCCAGTCGGGCTCTCTGTAGATGGCTGGGAAGAGCAGCAGGAGCAAACAGAGAAGAGCCGAGTTCGGACGGCCTGGGTGCAGAGGACGAACATGATGCAATTGGCGCCGCCCTGAAACGTGTTCCCAATACCCTGGGGAGGAAAGGAGAGGCATGAGTGCCCGAGCTGGAGGTGGTCGGTCTCTCTCTCTCTATCTCTATCTCTCTCACACACACACACACACACACACACACACACACACACACAGACCAGGAAGTGCTTCGGACCCCAGAACCCTGTCCTCCACCCACCGAGGCTGGTATTCAGCCCCCAAACTGCAGGTCTTCTGTGTTGGGAAGGACAGGATCAAGGCAGCTCTCTCCGGGCCATTCCCAGGCCACCAGAGGGCCCCTTAATGCCCCTGGGCTGCACCTGAGCCTCACTGCCCTTCCACCCTCTCTCACTAAGACTCCCCCATTGGGTCTCAGGCAGAAAGGAAGGCACCATGGAGCCAAGATTCCTGCCAGTCCCAGGATGGCTGGTGTGCTGGGATGCACCCACTTTGTGGGAGATGGGGGCTTGGGGAGAGGGGGATCTAACCCTGCACCAGAGCCAGAGCAGAAAGGGCCAGGGAGGGCAGGCCTGCATACGTGCAGAACAACCAGCACCGGCAACCGCACCGCTGGGGAGCCGCAGAGGGTCAAGACGAATCGTACGGTGCTCCAGACCCGGAGGCAGATGAAGATGAGCGGGATGAGGATCAGCTTCTTATCGGCCACAGAGGTGCGGCGCTGAAGCTGGTGCGCCTCGGAGAGGATGGGCCGGTACTCGGAGAGCGCCTCGTGCTGTGCCAGGAACGAGGAGAACACGTGTGAGCCACTCATCCTGCCTATCTTTGCTCCATGTCACCCCCTGGAGGAGGCCTATCCTGACAACCTCCTTTCAAGGGCAAAGGCATTTTCCAGGTAGTCCTGTCCCCAGATTCAGTTAATTAGTTTTGCCCCCCCTCTTTTTTTGTAGCTCTTAACATCCTCCATCCTAGAAGTTACTCATCTTTGTTTATCAGGCCTGTTGCCTATTATTGTCCTGCCTTCCCCCTCCAGAATGCAAGCTCCCCCAGGGCAGAGGCCTGTGAAGGAGGGGCTCCATGCAAAGCTGGGGCAGAAAGGACAGGGGAGCAGGCTGGGCTTTGTACTTCCCCACTCCTGGGAACACCTTCAGTGAAAGGAAGGGGGAGACTCCATCTCTAGATCACAACTGAATTTGTAGCCATAGATGCAGCTATTCATAACAAAGATGTGTTTCTGAGCCTGGTCCTGTGTCTGGGACACTGAAAGCCCATGTGTGGGGAGAAGCCACATACCTTGGCAACTCTTCTTTGTAAATCTTGCTCCAAGTCACTTATTTTTTTTTCAAAATTTTATTTTTATTTATTTTAGAGAGAGAGTGCATGAGCAGGGGCAGAAAGAGGAGCAGAGGAGAAGGGAGAGAAATCTGAAGCAGACTCTGTGCTCAGCACAGACCCCCATGAGAGGCTTGATCCCATGACCCTGGGAGATCATGACCTGAGCTGAAATCAAGAGAGTTGGCCAATTAACCAACTGAGCCACTGGAGTGCCCCCAGCTCACTTATTCTTAGCTCTCCTTCCTAGCTAGAGGCAGGGAACAACCCCTATCCCTCCCTGCCCACTAGTCTTCCGGTTTTCTGGAAACACTTGCAGGATTATAAGACAGGATCTGTTCTCCCATGGGGGCTGGGCTCCCAGGCACAGCTCCAGGTCACCCTGGAAGGGCAAGGAAGAGGGGTGCATGGAAGGGCGGCTGCAGACAGACAGCCTGGGATGCTTCATCTGGGAGCCCAGAACCTTCCCAGGAAAGAAAAGGAGCCAAGAAGGGTATCTCCAGCCCAGGCAGGAGACCAGCAAGAAGATGGATTTCAAACCAATCACTAAGCCCCTCAGGACCGCTCAGCAACTCCAGCAGTAGCAGAAGAGGGGGGCAGGGAGGTGGCAAGGCCAGGAAATTTCAGAGTGAAAAGAGAACCCGAAGTCTAGACTCCAGAAGCCACAGGCAGGAGCCGCAGGGAACAAGCACCCTACGAACTCAGAAATGGCTGCCATGTCACATACACCCCGAAAGAATAAAGGGGGGCAACCCCCCCTGCAGCTTCAGCCCCTGAAAAATGGGGCAAAGAAAGCCCAGCATGGCCATGGCGCCCCGGGGCCTGGGCTCGGAAGCCCCCTTCAGTACTCTCCCACGCTTCCCCACATCCCACCCTGTCCCCACGCCCAGCCCTGTCCCCTTGCAGCCCCACCACGACCAGCCAGCCCGGCAGCGCCTCGGCCTGCAGAGCCCAGAGCCGGCAGTCAAGGACAAGGAAGGATTTTCCACATCATCAGAGGAAAACCTTTCTTGCCTGGAATTTCCAGCCAGCTGGGCTCCTGCTCTCTGAGCTCCCGAGACCCCGAAGAGTCTGCATTTATGACACATTTTCAGTGACCACAGGGAATGCGGTTGAGGCATCGTGTGGCCCATTAGGGCATCTCACGCCCTCGTCTCCCGGGGCCATGGCAGCCAGTGATCTGGATGCTGCTTCAGGGCAGCCGCACTCCCCTCCCGGTGGAGCAAGCCCGGCGGCCTGCCAGGAGAGGGCAGCAGAGGCCTGTCCCAGAACCCAGGCCGCTGCTCCCCTCCTGGATTCCACACGCAGTGGCAGTGGCCGCAGTGGCCTGGGCTTCACGGTCTGGGTGAGCCTAGGGGGCCCTTAGCCTCCGCCAGCCTCTACTCCCTTATCCATGGTGGAGAAATGACAGGACCCACCCCTGCCAGGGCTGTATCATTAGCAAACCAGACAGCCCATGATGCGTCACCCTGGCCTGTCCCCCAAGTGGCCGAGCCCAGCACCAGGCTGCCAGGGCACAGTGGCCCCAGAAACTTCTAGAATAGGGGCCGGGGGTGGGGTGGGGGGGAGGCAGGTACCTACCGCCCTGTTTATGTGCTTCCTGATGAGGAGGTAGAGGACGGGCAGCGTGACATAGGCCAGCATCTCCCAGAGCTTCCCGGTCAGCAGCATCCACAGGATGCGGTCCTCTGCCTCCAGGTCGATCCAGCACCAGCCAACTGACACGTCCGAGGCATCGTAGCCAATCTTCTTTAGAGCGACAGCTGCCACGGTGATGGCCAGCGGGACCCCCCAGCTGAGGAACAAGGGGCAGACAGGAGGCAGCAGGTCAGGCTCCCAACAAAGCCAGCAGGGGCAATGCCACTGGTCGCTGTGCTCTCCAAACCTTGAACTACATAGCATCTCTGGAGAAAGCAAGGCAGGAGTCGTCAACTCCCCCAACCTAGCCCCACTCTGCCCAAGCCCTGCCAGGCCCACCCTAATGTCGCAGAGCCTGGGTAAGAGGACACAGGGATGTCCTGGACTCCTGCCTGACAGATACTCCCCCACCCCCACCCCTCAGAGGCCGGGTTCTCATTCAGAATCGCTGGGCTCCTTGGTGATTGGTGTGAGAATGCTGTGGCATGGCGAGGGTAGCTCCTTCCTGCCCCCAGGGTGGCCTGCATGCCAGCGTGCACCAGCCCATGCACCTATGTCTCACCCACACAGCCCCCGTGGCCGCCTGGGCCCAGGGGTGCATGCACTGGCAGCTTGGGGTTGCCTGGGAGGGAACGCTAGGGTCCTGTGCACCTGCAGCAGGATCTAGGAGGGGGAACAGGGGCTTGGGTGGGCACATCTCTCTGAGCCTGAGGACTCCTTGCTCTATGGGAAGGATATTCCTGGCAAAGGTCACAGATGGCCTCTGAAGCATAAGGGCTGGGGCAGGGGCCCCCTCTTAGGGCAGCACCAGGCTGACTTTTTGAGAGTGCATCCTGACGGCAACACAGCCAGATGAGAGCTGAGCCCCAAGGTTCCCAGTGTCCCCACACCAGGCTGCTTGTGAAGCATTTTAAATGGGTCAGGGGACCCACAGAGGCTTCACAGTGGGATAGTGGGGTGGTTTGGAGTTTGGGCACCATGCAAGGAACAGGGTTCAAGCAGGCCCCACTCCAACTTGGCCTCAATGCAGCAGTGTTTTTCTCCACCAAGTGGGGGAAGGTGACGGTGCCTGGAGCAGTGTAGGTTGTCACGAGAATAAACTGACTGGTGTACGTCTGGAGCACCGGTAAGTGTGTTGTTGTGTCTGACCGCTGCTGCTGTGAGTCATGTCCAACGTCCCAGGACTCTGGCCTATAGTGCAGGTGCCAGGAACGTGTGAGGCCCATGCGGTTCCTGCCCCTGGGAAGAGTACACACGGGCCTATGGGCCTATGTCCCAGGTCAGTTGCTGGGAGACAAGCAGTATGTAAACAGGACATGTCATCAGTAAAACCCTGAGGTCAGAAATTGGTTATATCCTGAGAGCTCTGTGTGAGCAATAGCTGCCTTTTTTTTTTTTTTTAAGATTTTATTTACTCATGAGAGGCACAGAGAGAGAGAGGCACAGGCACAGGCACTGGGATAAGCAGGCTCCATGCAGGAGCCTGATGTGGAACTGGATCCCAGGTCTCTAGGATCACGCCCTAGGCCGAAGGCAGCGCTAAACTGCTGAGCCACCCAGGCTGCCCCAATAGCTGCTTTTTTATTTTTCTAAAGATTTTATTTATTCATGAGAGACACAGAGAGAGAGAAGCAGAGACGCAGGCAGAAGGAGAAGCAGGCTCCATGCAGGGAGCCTGATGTGGGACTTGATCCCAGGACTCCAGGACCACGCCCCAGGCCGAAGGTAGGCGCCAAACTGCTGAGCCACCTAGGGATCCCCCAACAGCTGCTTTTTTAAAGTTAACTTTTATTTATTTACTTAAGGATTCTCTCTATACCCAATGGGGGGCTAGAACTCACGACCCCGAGATCAAGAGTAGCATGCCTTTCCACTGAGCCGGCCAGTAGCAGCTCTTTTAGAGAGAAAGTTGTAGAACAGTTGATGAGACCAAAGTTGAGTGTTAGTCTTGCCAGAATGAGGAGAAGTGCTGTGTTCAGTCAGGTCAAAAGGGACAAAAAACCCACAGAAGTTAAAGGGTGATGAGAAAGGTACCAAGTTACCCTCAGGAGTCTGTCCACTTTAGATGCTTGTCCTATCAGTTACTTATTTGTGAAGTGGACATATATTAGCGTCAAACTGTTCTGTCATAATATAGGGTTTCCATTTAGGGGCATCTGAGTGGCTCAGTGGTTGAGCGTCTGCCTTTGGCTTGGGTCATGATCCCGGGGTCCTAGGATTGAGTTCCGCATCAGGCTCCTCACAGGGAGCCTGCTTCTCCCTCTGCCTATGTCTCTGGCGCTCTCTCTCTCTCTCTCTCATGAATAAATAAATAAAATCTTTAAAACAAAACAAAACAACTCATGCCATCCTGGGGGCATCTGGGGACAACATGTCACAACAAAGAGCTCCAAGCTCCAAGCTCCATGAGGGCAGGTGCACTGCTCTTTCCAGCATCTAGAACAGTGTCTGGCGCCTGGTAGGAACAGAACAGGGACCTGCTGAATGGGTGAAGTTTGTGGCAAGTGACCCAATCTACTCCTTAGCTCTTCACGGCATGAACATATTGTCATTGCAAAGGAAGTAAAATGCTTTTAGTTGTCTTGTTCCTCATGGCTTTATGGTTTATGGGGCTCCTCCAAGGAATCCTGCAATGGAGAAAAGCATGGTGTGTAGAGAGCCTCACCCTGCAGGAGGCTGGGCAGGGGCTGGAGGGGCGCCCTCCCAGCTGGAAGTAAGCACACAGGGTGCGCCCAGGGCAGGCGCTCACAGGCACAGTGATTCCTCCTTCCTGACGTCCTTCACAGGAGACCCGGGTCCCCCACGGAGACCATTCTGTGACTTCAGGCTTGTCCTAGGAAAGCTAGAAAGCGATGGGTTTCTTTTGTATTACTGGGGTGCGTCCGGAGCTAAGTCTGCGTTGGGAGGTAGCCAGAGAGAAGACCAAACAGGCAGAAGGCTTTAAAGGGTTAAGAATGTGGGTTGATTGGGGCGCCTGGGTGGCTCAGTCAGTTAAGCCTCTGCCTTGGCTCTGGTCATGATCCCAGGCTCCCTGCTTCTCCCTCTCCCTCTGTCCCTCCTGCTTCCCCTCCTCATACTCCCTCAATCTAGCCCTCTCTCAAATAAATAAAATCTTTATTTAAAAAAAAAAAAAGAAAGAAAGAATGTGGGTTGATCAATCAGAGTCACTGTTTGAACCTCAGCAGATGGCCAGAAGCTGCTTGGGGAGGTATTTAAGTAGGAGGTGGTAAGGAGCAATGTCAGGGAGGGGTGGGAAGGGAGTGGGAGGAAGGGAGAGGCTAATGACCCAGCAAAGCAGGCTCTACCAGACTTGTGAGTTATGGGTAAGGGCCGTGGTGTGCTGGTAGTGTTTCACAACTGGCTCTGTACACAGAAAGGATTTGTATGCCGGTGCCTGTGTATGTACGTATGTAAGCATGCACATATACGTTTATTATTAATTTAACTGATATAAAAGACGTGAAGCACACAATCTGCAGGTAATAACACATCACACTACGGTCCTTGTGGTGAATTCCGTATAGCCAATCGAGCCTCACAGAATGCACTCAATTTTTGCCAACACACTATGGTTGCAGTTGGCAAATGAGAGTAGTTCCATGACATGAAGTTGTTTATGTTTTAATTTTTCTTCACACGTAAGAAAAATGTGAAGTAAGGAAAGGCTAAGGGAGAAGACAAATGGTGACTAGGAAGCAACTTCTTTGTGGGATCGGATATTAATTTCCCAACCCTGGAAGGGTATTTCTACTTTTTTCCCCCCTGCTCCACAATACCATGTCTTCTCACCCCTTAAATACCTGGCTTCCTGCCTGCCCCATCTGACTACCACCTCTGAAGTTCATAGAAGGAATACTGTTAGGTATAATTTTAACTATTGATGTTTCCTCTATCATCTTCTCAAATCTAGATAAAGAGTCCAGGAAACTATGGCCCTCAGGCCAAATCTGGCCAGAGTCTGCTCTGCTTTGTTTTACTTTCCTTTCTTTTTTCTTTCTTTCTTTCTTTCTTTCTTTCTTTCTTTCTTTCTTTCTTTCTTTCTTTCTTTCCTTTCTTTCTTCTCTCGTTCCTTCTTTCTTTCTAAGATTTTTATTTATTTGAGAGAAAGAGCTCACAAGCATGCACACAGGTGCAGAGGGAGAAGGTAAAGCAGACTCCCTGCTGAGCAGGGACTCTGGGATCATGACCTGAGCTGAAGACAGATGCTTAACCCACTGAGCCACCTAGGCGCCCCTTTTCTGCTTTTTTAAATAAAGTTTTATTGTAACTGTAAGAGCAGAGGCTGAATAGCTGTAATTGAGATCAGATGGCCTGTAAAGCTGAAAAAAACCTATTATCTGGTCCTTTACAGGGAAAGTATGCTGACCTCTACTCTACACAATCAACAAAATAAACCAAGCCCTGATCTGTGGTGCTTGCTGTTTTTCATGGTGCAATACTCCCACTGTGACTAATTTCAAGCCACCAATACATGTGGTTGGGGACAGATGGACAGTAATTGACAGTATTTCCATCCCATAGATTTGATAGTTGTAAATAACCTCAAGTGCATAGATAACAGTAAGATAATTAAGATGTAATTTTTAATACTCTTACTACTCTTTTAAATACAACTTATAAGTTTATATAGTTTAGTTTTTATTGATGATTGTACTTAATAATCAGCTCACAAAATGCCCTAAAATTTAATAATTGGGTCTCACCAGCTGGCTCCAGGATGCCACTGGGTGGAGGATAAAAAGAGATAAAGAGCTGAAGATGCCCCAGGTTCTCCACCTATAGAGTGAGGGGAAAGTCCATATTTTTGGCAAGCTCAGATAAGCCAAGCCATTCTCTGGCCTGAGCTGTAGGCACTGTGAATCTGTAAGATACTCTAGAAACACATGTGTGACATAATCCCTTCTTTCTAGAAATGCATACTTCCAATTTCTGTCACAAGACCATGTAATATTTTCCCTCCTAATAAAGAAGCTGGCAACCAAAAAATTAAAATCAGAACAAGTAAAATATAGCTGAATAACAGCATGTGAAAAAAATCATGGGCTTTAGTTGATTATGACCTAGAAACTCCTGTGGTTGGAGGAAGCACCCTGACACCCACATGTGGGCAGACCAGAACTGTGAGCAAACTGTCCTGCCTCTGTGTGGATGCTTGTG